ACTGTAGTCTATACTTCAGCTCCACACCGAAGCGAAGCGAGGGCGGACCGCTAGTATGTATATAAATCTAAAGAAATTTGAATTAAATTCACTCCAGGCGGCTGCCTGGTCTGCCTTACACAGGATCATTTGGACCAAGTGAATTATTTCTCGAAAAAAATCTTGAAGCTTTTTTATGATTCGGCAATTTTAATATTTTCCTTCCCGTAGCTGATATGCTTCAACTAACGCTTGATGCTACGGACAGTATTCGAAGATTAATAACCCTTTATTAAATACCAATATCTAGCCTTGATCGACAAATTGTTTAGAAATGTAATACTTAAGAGACCTTTCACATTCTTTGCAAAAAATAGAAAATTTTTGACCCCCTTAGAAAAGATTTTGACTAATTCCAATAGAAGTAAACAGTAGAATAATTCTTCTTATTGTAAGTTAATGTAGAATATTTGCAAATACTATTTTCATTTATTTGTACTGATCGTTCTATCGCAGCTAGTTTACGGAAAAAACGATAATATGCACAACTTCAAACGCCTGAATCTTTAAATAATATTCAATAAATTAGATCAAATTAATTACTACGACATCAAAAATATGTTATTGTTGTAACTTATTGTATTAGAATTTTGATTTTCCATCTCATTAATTATCAAAATAACATCTAACCTCCGAGAGTTTTCCCAAAAACCAATGCAGGTTTACCTCGTATTTTGATATTGAATTAAATAGAATTACTATCAAAAACTTTCATAAAACTAATCGACGATCATTGAACTACTGAAATATGTATATATTTGAATAATTAGTTCATTAATAATTATTTTATGAGACTCGAAACATCACCCATAAAATGCAATATATACTAGTGCAAATCTACCTACGCGCCGACCAGTACGGCAGAGGCGCAATTTTGTAAAAGGGATCTTAAACTAGCTGTTGTTTATTAATTGAATGCGCAAAATAGTGAATTAGGTTCAAGTATAACAAGAAAATAAAAAAGAGAGCTAACATAATAGAGAGGTGTCTGCGATACAATTCACTACATTTTTTTTTCATCGAGTGTTATTACAAAATTCCAGTTGTTGTTTGAGATGACTCAATATCTGGGTCGTTTCGTATTTGAAGGGAACTGATGTAACATTGAGACAAATTGTGTGAATGTGTTGATAGCTTATTCAATTACTGTAAGTGTACTTGCAATGAGATGTCCGATCATTTACATGATTCTTTTATTGACTAAATCCTTATCAGATTGAGTAAAAATCTAAATATATATAAGAAGAAACTGTCTGACCTACTGTCATATCAAAGCACAGCCGAAACCGCTAGATCTAGACTCCAAATTCGGCACGTAGGTTCCCTTATGAGGTTTAGGGGTGCACTAAGAAAGTATTTTTTTTAAAATTCACTCCCAAAGGGGTTAAAATGGAGGATATAATTTGAAATTATAAAAAATAAAAGACTTAAAACATTTCACAAATACTTAGTTGGTCATTTTTATTTTTCCCAAACTACCTCCTAAAAGGGGATTGGGAGGGTGTCGAAGTTTTTTTATGGAATGTTTTTAACGCGCATTTCGATTCACTCGAGCCACCTTGTCATGCTTGTCATCTTCTCTTGTCATCTCTAGCGAAGATGACAAGATCACGGACGTCAATGCACTTTGCTCTAAAGTACCTGTTGCTTGTTAATTTCGCTGCTAGGAATCGCGCTAATATCTTGAAAAAAATTAACTTCAGATCCTATCATCTAACAACGATATGGAAAAGTCTTACTTGGCTGTTCGGCGTAAAAAGGTCGCAGAACTGAAAATAATGAAAATACGGAAAGCAATATTGGTAGGTATATCGTATTTTATATTTGTCAATATTATCTTTGTTATATTATTTCGTAGATCGTATTTATCTATTTATCACTCCTCTTCCCTCCTAGAAAGGTAAAACTGAAGTATGAGTTGAGCATTATAAACGAATATACATAGGTAAATAATAAATATTAGACATTAAGAAAATAAATAAGTGGGCACATACCGTTTTTTATTCAATGTAAAATAAATATCGCCATCATAAATAGCCACGCGTTCCTGAGAAAAAGAGTTTTGATAGACGGACGGACAGCCAACAAAGTGATAAGGGTTCCGTTTTTTTCTTTTTGAGGTACGGAACCCTAAAAAGAACAAACACAACTAAAAAAACAGTTTAGAGTACTGCATACAAGAAGTTTTATGAAAAGAGGTTTTATCATATTTGTAAAAAATTTCAATAGGTTAAGGTTTATATCATGTAATGTTGAAAGATACAGAAAAATATTATAAATAAATTACGAATTGATAAATACCCAAAAAATTAAAAAACTTTAAAAAAAAGAAACGTTGAGAATAATACAACGTTACATTACAATATAAGATAGTGAAGATGATTCACGTTCTTTCAAGGAGATGGTTCTCATCCTTCCTTAAGTTACTTGCCTAGACATGCGTAGCAATCAGGACAATCATTTGGGACATTTTTAACTTCAGGCTGTGCTTGAGATTCGATTGTGACAGATAACGCCTTCTGTTTCAAAACTGCAGCCGCAATAGCGGACTCGCTTGCTTTCATATACACGAAGGCGTTAGCACTTCCTTATTCAATGTTATTCAAGTATCCTTACTTTATCATTATAAAAACTGGCCAAGCGCGAGTCTGGCCCCGCTCTTGTAGGATTCCGTAAAATAATTTGTTTGTTTTCTTCACAACTTACATAATACATTATGAATCGGCGTTTCCAGTAGGTATTATTGTTTAAAGGTAGCTTATGAGACATCATATCACATTCTTACTTTCTAGTTTCAATTTAGAGATAGACACCGTAACAAAATTGATCTAAAAATGACAATTTCGACGACCTCCCATTTCTTTGTTATTGAGAATAAAACTTAAGTATTATTCTAACTTTACCTATGAAATTGCCGTTTTTCATGAAATAAGTTATTCCCTTTCTTTTTTATGTTTAAGTTATTACCCATGCAATCAATGTATTTTTGCCAACGTAGTGATAGATTATAAATGCACTTTTTGAAAAGTCTGCTGGACTCCCGGCGCAAAGCAAAAATTCTTCAAATTCGTTTTGAACTTTTGAATTTTTCCCTGCCAAGAAGTTATCCAAAGACTGGAAAAAGTAGAAGTCTGTAGGGGCAACGTCCGGTAAGTACGGTAGATGATGGAGAACTTCCAACCCCAGTTCTTGTGACTTGGAGTCCGTCTGCTGTGCAGGGGCGTGACGCGATGAGGTCGCGCGTTGTCGTGCAGGAGCAGCGGAGCCGAACGATTGACCAAAGCTGGTTGGAGAGGTGCTTCTCCATCATTGTGTTCAGTTCTTCACTGTACACATCCACAGTAATACCACTTAACACTTGGTAAGATGCTGTGATGAATGAAACCGGCGCTAGACCATCAAACGTGAACATCACTTTTTAGGGGTCAGTTTTCGTTTGGGGCATTGTTTAGGTACTGAACCAGGATTTAACCAATTTGCGCTTGCGATTGTCGAATAGAATCCATTTTTCCTCGCAAGTAACAATGCCATTCAATATGGTTTTGTTTGTGTGTCTGTTGAGCAGTGCAAGACTCAGCTAGACGCGTACTTCGCGTTGGCGATCATTCAATTTATGGAGCACAAATGGGTGCTCACGTCAAGCTTTTTTACCTTGCCAATTTGACGCATCGAAAGCTGCTGCCAATTTTAAGCTGTCTGAATTTTTTACGTTTTCATGATGACGAATAACGTACTAATGCGCTAAAATCAGAACGCTAACCATTAAACAAATGACTAATTTTTAAAATTAGAATTCAGTTCTTTGAAAATAAAAATGATTTGAACTCAGAATTCTTAGCGACAAAAAAATAGAAAGAAAAAATGGACATGAAAAAGCCAGTACCTACGACAGAACGGCAATTTCATAGGTAAAGACCTGTTATAGTATATATCTTCTTAAAAAACAAAGTGAAATGGTGAAAACTGCCCTGCCTTTTATCTGATTTTTCCTGCCTTATGACCTATGACATGACACTACTCATATAATATGTACTTACTTAAAAAAAACAAAGTAATTTAAGATTTCCCCTCTTTTTGAAATTCTGAAAACTGCCCTCTTTTTCTCTGTTTTTTACTGCCTATGACTTATGATATGAAATTCCTCATATAATATGTGCCTACTTAAGTGAAACAAAGTGGTTTAAGATTTTCCTCTCTTTTTGCAATTGGAATGCCTTTCAGTCACAGTGATATAACACTACGGAAGTATCATGTTTTCGTGAGAAAGTTTATAGAACCCTATAGCCTACCCTTAGCCATAGGGTGGGTAAAATAGGATCAGGGAAGCCAACGCACAAGCGTCTTAATGCAATGGTAACCCGTTACCGACACGAAGGCCTTAAGTGTATATGCAAATTTGTGCTTTAAGGTTTTTCCAAAAAATAAACAAGAGTATATATCTACCTTTATCTTTTACTTTAAACCGTAAAGGTTTAAACTTTAAACCATCTATCATTATGTTTGTACTTCATTGAGGAGGTTATTAATGTTAGTTACCTGGTTCATTCAGATTCGATACACACAAGAGTTATGCATATAATGGCTTGACATAAATACGAGAAGTTTTAGCACATGCCTCGTTTATCTCTCCGAAGGTTTGCATACAGTTGTATCAGTAATTTTAATTGACAACAGGACCTTTGTCGATGCTAATGTTTCCGCCGACAAGAGCATTGTTTCACTTATCTGATGATATGTTCCTATAAAAAGGGGGCAGTGCTAGAGATGATTCTCCAATGTGGTTATAAGACGTGATAGTAAGGTGCTGAAATATGGATTTCGTTTACCTCAAGGCACGTAGCTCTTATTATTATTGAATCCCAAATTCATTCATCAGTGGTTACTTATGAAATAATTAAATCTTATTGTGAGTAATAAACTTAAAATGTGTGCGAAGTTTTACAAGTGGTTAAATCTTAATTCGATAAATATACATAAATGAACAGTCCAAATTCTTAGATTACTCTTCATTTTATTTTGAAATATGGACTTACGCAAGTTGCAAAGCGATCAATCTCAAAAGATCCATTTCAGTGGATCTTTTGTTTTTCAAAGGAATTCAAAATCTTATTATGTAGATAAATTCAAAAATTCTGAAAACGAAAGAGAAGTTATTTAATAAATAAGTAGTCTAGTAGAGAAGAAACAAGGAAGAAAGAAATAAGTTCTTGATTTGATATATTTGATAGTTCTCCACTAATTTAAAATCAATGAAAAAAGGTTCCCTATAATGCTGTGATGTGCCTTTATTCAATTCCCATAGATTGTGCTTCTGGTGAACAGTTGGTTGTTCACAAGAGGCTCTCCTGTCGCGATGCTGCAGCATGCTACTTCTTCGCAAAGCATAGTATTCCACCCATCAGTTGCCTCTACATCTTCCCCTAGTATTCCAGGTTTGAAGGAATTCAGTGTAATACATATTTAGCTTTCAAAGCTTATTAGTTAATTTTACCCTTACATGTTGGTATAGTGTGGTTTTATTCGTTAATAAGTAGTAATTTATTTATTTACAGCATCAGCTTCCTCTGATCAGTATGGTGGAAGTCAGGTAATATGACTATATGAATTCTATATCAATTAAAGTTAGTTAATATCTCTCAAAATAGGTAAAGCTGTGTATTTGAGATTTAGCCCACCACTTGTGTTAGTATCATCTGCGAGAATAGCTAAAAAGTTATAGATGGGTAGGATGAAAGAATCGGGTTCTTTAACATTTTTTTGACTTTTTCGGTATGTTTTATTTTCGTTGTAGCCAAAGTATGAGTACAAATACGAAGTCTCAGACCACCAGACTGGCGACAGGAAGAGTCATTGGGAGAGCAGAGAAGGGGACCGGGTGCGCGGGGGGTACACCCTGTATGAACCTGACGGTGCCTTGCGTACTGTGGAATACTCAGCTGATGCCTTACATGGGTATGAATTTTCAGACTAATTTATTTCACTAAGATACCACACGAGAATCCACTTTGTTGAATATTCAATGGGATTGATGGAGAGGAAGGATATCTTGTATATCTTTATCATCAATTCAGCTGCCTATGATGACTCTTTCCTCTAAATGAACCTGTCTTTGTTCTTTATGTTTATTTTGAAACTATCATGCATTATTATGATGCTTGATTTTATTAAAAAAATTGCGGCCTTCAACTGGATTGCGGAGGACAACTCGGTGCAGAAATACAGATGGTCACGAACCACGTTATAGATTCCAAAGGTGTATGATAGTAAACTATCAAACACAATTAGAACATTGTTTACTTTTTTATGTGGGGAAATACCCATGAGAAGACCCATACCTTCTTACTAAAACAAGAAAGTGAGCGAGTTATATCGGATTCTCCCCTGCCCGCCCACTTGACGAAAACAATTTTTCCCCCACTCGGTAGGAACAGGCCTACCGACTAAAGCTCCATGGTATTTCGTCCTCAGCGATGGGTGGGAAATTGAAGCAACAGCCAGGCCATGTCTTCGAAAATTCCATAAGTCATCACTTCGTCCGTATCCAAACCCACCTTCGCCACAGTTTCCCGCTCTTTTCCACCGGGCGGCAACACACCGAAACATGTGTAGTGTATGTCGCCGCACACTACTCTATCGGCTGTCGACGGAGCTGCCATTTTTAGAGCATTAATGCTCTGGCGTATGATCTCCGCCGACTTCCAACTCGTCGGTGCCTCAGTGGGTCTGCTTGGGGATCCTCCTCTCGGGACCGCTCCATTGCCTCTCTGGTCCCCATGTGGGACACACCTCTAAGGTATGTAGCGCCATGTGCTCCAGCGCCTCGCACTCGTGGCAGGCTGTTCGCTCTCTTCTCGCAATCCCGAAAGAATTTGCACAAAGCGATAAGAGAGCGAACTGCCTCTTCTTGTCACACATTCATCTAGTACCAGGAGGATAGCCTCAATGGTGCGATGTCCAGCACTCGGCTCTATTTATTTCTCCAGGGACTTTGTGTTAGCGATTTTAAAGTATACCTTCGCAAGGACTCCCCGCTCCCTAAGATGCGTGCTAGCTATAACACATGCCGCCTTAAGATTGCGATTAGCCATGATAATCCTGGTCGCTATGACCCGCTGCGCCCGACGCAAAAGAGTCTTACTATGGGCGGCCAGAGAATCAACCCATTTGGGTGCCCCATGGAGTGCAATAGAGCGCACAACTCCAGCAAGAGCATTGTTTACTTTATAATAAAAAGAAAAACAATGTGATCCTCACGTCTCTAGGTTTCTACAATTTTGCCGAACGAATCACATGAATATTTCCTATTTTGAATAGAAAGGACTTTTCAAATCCATACTATTAACTCATTAACTTTTGAAAAAATAAACAAATACATTTAATGTTCCCAGATTTACTGCGGTCGTGCGAAGAGATGAGCCCACCAGGCACCAGCACTCGAGACCTGACAATTCATACAATGCAATATCGTCGCATTCCCGCGACGGTTACCAACCACCGTCTCCGCAACGAGGCTATATTCCCGACGACGGTTCTTCTGGCTTAGGACACGGAGACCAACCAGGATATTCAGGGCCTGGTGGTACTTTCAATTCCGGCTTCAGCGTGAAACACGTCATGGAACTCAATAAAGATCAATCTAAGATCTTTTAAATTATCTTATGGCTACTTTACGGTGGTGGATCTGAGTTCACATTTATATTGCCACTATCACGTTTCAGGAACAGGAATATTAATTTCTTGATTGTGCCTACCCATAACTTTGAATTTATTTTATATAGTATACATATTGAGTTTGCAATTCTTTTCACTAAATTGTAGACTTATTTTTAATTTACTTTTTTCAGCGAGGTTAGTTATTTGAATTTAATGAGTCAATGTACAAAGATTTTGAGCTACCTACATTTCCTACTTTTTTAGGTTTTATTTGTTTATTTGATTTTAATGCGTTCTGTTCTTATTAATGTAGAACACGACACTTGTAAACAGCCCTGCTTGTTTTACTGTATGTGTGCGTAGGCTAGGGCCGATAATTTTAGAAAGCAATTATAAACTCGGAACAGCTTGAAACCTTTGATTAAAACATACCAAAAGGAAAAAAGCATATTAAGAAGAGAGGAAAAATAAATTTTAGGTGATTTAAAGTGGAGAAGGGCGAGGGGGTGACCTTTTAAGAAGGGATAACAGTTTATCGCGATTTTCGGAAAAACTACAAGTCCCATCAAAAAAGAAACAATGGCAACATTGTAGGTAATTAAAAGTTCTACAACTTTTGTTTTAACTTTTTTTAATCAGAAGCTAATTATTTCTGTGAAAAATCAAAATAACTGTTTGTTTTTTTTATAAAGTTACGATATTTTACCATTGAATTTTATTCGATAGCAACAACTGCTATAGTTTTACCGAAAATCGCGATAAACCGTTTCCCCCCCTTAAAGTTCTCCGGGTGGGGGACCTCACGACCGAAAGCGCCCGTAAACTTTTTTTCTTTTTTTATTGTGATCTCTTCCCTTTAGTTTGGGTTTCAACCTGCTTACATTTTTTTCACTTTTTACGATTTACAAAGGCATCCGCCCTGGCTTAGTGTGAGAGCGCGAGAAAAGGAATTTTACCCGAATGGGAACTGTTTTTTTATTTTTATTTATGACTTTTTTTGAGCTTTTTTTTAGTGTCATGCGCTATGCATGACCAAATAGTTTGATTCTAAAGTTAAATATATCCCACCAAAGCTTTAAAACCCAGTATTTCTGCTAACGCTGTACTTAAATTATAATATTTTTATGTTATAAATAATTTAAGAATATTTTATAAGACATACTTAGTTGTTCGGTAAAACTTATTGACTTTTAAATGCACAGTTCACTCAGTACTTTAAATACGATTATTTTTTGATTCTGAGAATACTGAAGAATTTTATCACTATTAAAAAGAGAAAAAAATACAAGCTGTTTCAATTTTCAATATCTACACACAAAAAACAAGTGAGTTAAGTATTTAAACTTCTAAAGTATGAATCCCGGTGGGGGCTGATGTTTGTGTGATGAATACGAGCATTTTTACTCCATTCATGGATGTTTAATATGTATTTCTATATAAATATGCTTATATATGAACACTATATGTAATCTATGTTACCCTGATATCCCATAACAAAAGCCTTACAGTGCTTACTTTGGGGTTAGGCTAATAGGTGTGAGTCTTGGAAATATTTATTTATATATTTATTTATTATCCTCGCTTGATTTTTTTATTCATATCAATTCTTACTTGCTATGATGATATAGGGATTCCTACCCAATATATCCAAATCGGTTCAGGCATTTGGAAGTTATGACGGAAAAGAAAAACGCATATACGAATACGACTGCTGAAAAAATTACACTCCTACGTTTGTGTAGATATTAGTATTTGAAAAAATTAAATGTCTCATTATATGTAAAGGAAGTCTTATTATAGGTACTTTATTCGTCCTTGTTTAGGTCACAGACATAACATGTAGGTATGTACCTTACTGTATATGTACCTACTTCAATAACTGGAGGAAAAATCAAAAATTTTCAGGCATCATTAGAAATAAAAAAAGAATCTAAAGAAAAGTAAAAATTTTGAGTAAAATTTTCTTTAGATTTAATCATAGCAGTTTAAAGCTTGAAAAAATCTTAAACTTAAATAGTTGTAAACTTAATAAAACTGCAATTTTCGTTTCTTGTAGTTTATTATATAGTTGTTTTCCAGCGCTGGTATTTTGTATGCAATTGTTTTCAGTAAATCAGTATTCAATATAGTTTTCGAGGTCTTCAGGGTGGGTTTCGTAGTAGGAGATCTATATTTATTGGTGACCGTGGGAACCATGAACATGATGATGGGGATGATGGTGATGCGTGGTGTGGTGTACAGCGGCAACAAATCTGCAATCGAATAGTTTATTTTAAAAGGACATCAATATTATTGTTAGCTGTCTTCAATGAGATGGAGGTTCTTAATTCAACTGTATAATATATTTTCTTTTATATGTTTGGATCGCAATTATTCCGCATTATTATCTTATATATAAAATTCTCATATCACAATGTTAGTTACCACACTCCTCCGAAACGGTTTAACCGGATTTTTATGAAATTTTATATGCATTTTCAGTAGGTTTTAGAATCGGCTACTATCTATTTTTCATACCCCTAAGTGATAAGGGTTGTCCACCACATTGATTTATTGGACATTTTTTGTATAATGTGGCATTAAAATATACATACAACCCTAAATTTTCACCCTTCTACCACCAGCCCCTATTTTTATGGCGGTACGAAGTTCGCTGGGTTAGCTAGTAATTTATATAATTTGACGTTTTTTTTTGTTTCGTAAGTCAACATAGCTTACGAACATGGTGGTTGCTTTCATTCATTTGAGGATAAACAACGATTGTAGCATTGTCCCAGAAATCAAGCGCCGTATTGCTATAGCTACGGACGCAATGTCATGCTTTCAAGTAATCTGGAATATTCACAGCCTGAGTTTCCACACTAAAACACATTTGGTGAGTGAGATCTCTGATTTTTCCTATTTTCTTTTATGTCGGAGTTATTTCGATTTTTAAATGTATATGGCTCGAGTGAACTTAATGTATACGTATAGCTTTAAGGCACATCTTACCCGTGGTGGTCGTCAGCGGTGTAATGAACAGACCGCACGTTGCCGTCGGGTTCCACGAGGGAGTATTGGCCCTTCACAACATCTCCGTGGCGGTGCTCCGACTGAGACTTGTGGTCGCCGGTGTGCGGGTCGTTCACGGCATACGAGAATTCGTAACTGGGATGAGACGCGGCCTTCAACAAGAATGACATATTATAGTAATAACTCTTTTAGATCTAAAACTGTCCAACATCTTTCTTCACGAAATGTTCGCATTGCTCGAAAACAAGCTTTCCCTATGGATAAAATATGGATAATGGATCATCATGTAGTGTCTAGTCTATAAGAGAGGCCTAATACGACTGTAAGTGAACCATATTCTTCTACATACACGGAACCGCTAGAGCAGTTGCGACTGCTTCGGGCGGTTGGCAGCGCGGTGAAATAGCAGCTTCAAGGTGTTGACTCTGACTGGTCGAGCAGTCCGTGTATATTGATCACTGGCTAACTGCTAGAGCAGTCCGTGGATGGCCCCTCTTACAGCAGATTCAGCAGGGACCAACGGCTAAACATGTATTCTGAAGCGAGGAGGAGTTCGAGATGTTACATTTTAGTGACTTATTATATGAACGGCCATTACAAAATTATGTTATCTTCCACAATCGCAGATCGAACGCGCTAAATCGCTGAATTGAGCAACTCAAATAGCTAGCATTATAAAATTTAAAATTTGCTACCATGACCTATAAAGTACCTATTTCAGATGAGATTGATATTCACCTAGGGAACGTTGGTGGGTATTGTGGGTAATGAGAAATGTACGTATTATTGAACTAAATTGAAGGTTTCCCGCAAAAACTGACCGCAGAGTTAATGGGACACAGCAGGCCTTACACTGTGGGATTGTATTAGAATTAACTGGATACCTACTGTAACATTAACAGATACCAACTTCGCACAAAATCAAATGGTACTACCGTTTGCAGATACTGTAGACAGGAGTGTGAAACACCAAAACACCTACTATGTCAATATGGATACTAATTCACAAAAGAAGTATTCATGTGGGGCGACATTATTACATTTAAATTTAGTTACTGTAATACTAATGACTAGAAGCTGCAAACCTTTTAATAAAGTTTAAACATCTAGCAGTTAAGTGATTAAAAATAAAAATAACATAAACCTTTTAAGTAACTTGAAATAGCTTTTGGTTAAGAGAGATACGGTAATTGGGTCTATCTTATATCGCAGAACTTTTAATGTCATAACAATATTTTGCATATCAGCGGATGGCATAACCTTCATTTCGCAGAACGTCATTTGGCATTCACTCATTTATCAGACATTCAAAACTCATAATTTTGAAAACCCGAATCATCTTTAGGCATAAATTTAATATCCACGATAGTTAAAAAGCAGAATCATCATCGTGCTAAGTTTAGGTCACCTACCTAACCTACTGACCATAATCACCCAATCTTTCATAACATATTTTTTATGCTTAACGCAGTGAAAGTGAAATTATGCAATATAATATTTTGCCAATGCGTTATAAAATTCTGCCACATAAACATTCGACCAAACAAAAAAAAATGTTGTTAAGACTATGCATAGGGTGTTGGTTGTACCAATGAATTTAGGAGCAACAAGATTCTGTCAGATAGAGGTTACCCACTTCAATTAATTTGGTGGCTAAACAGAATAAATATGTAGATAATTTTAGGTTGAACACTTTTTGATCTAAAATGTGTAACGTTTAAGAATCTAAAACTTATTTAAAAAAAACAACGGGTTGCACTCCGGAAGTGCCGGCAGAAGTAAAAACTTGAATATTAACGTTGTGCATTTTTGATATTTTGGAATGGTTAGGGAATTATTTTGCACGAATTGCTTTAATTATTATCAGTATAAAAGTACTATCATTTATGTGGTAGAACACAATTTTTATTTATTGCGCTATCGTACACAAACATGACAATTTATATTACATAAAAAAGTTTATCTCTCAGAAAAATCAACTTACATAAATCACATTTAAGCGCACCTAGCGACATCTATTGTTAAAAAAATGCATTTTCTTCGCAATAAAGCTGCCACCCGGACGTCCTAATTAAAGACTTATTATTACAATACGATAATAGTTATTTATTATACAAGAGTGGAAAGTTCCTTTTTAACCGCGTGCTCGATTTGGATGACCGAGCAAGCGAAGGATTCTAAATTAGAATCCTGAGCGTCAGCGAGGGAAACAAACGAGCACAAGGTGAAAAATCTTTCCACTCGAGTGCAATACGTAACTTTTCATCCCACCTCAGCGAGGAAATGACAAAATGAAAAAGAAAACAATTTATAATGACAAAATATTTAAGCAATAAAACGTGAAAAACTAGAATGGCGCGAAGCACGCAAATAAAACAAAGAAACCAAGAAGGTTCCAAATTTAAATTTTTTCACAATTTAAAAAGTTCTAATCATAAATTTGGCACCATAGAGGTTACATTAAATAGGTTTAATGACGTTTTGAATTTACAATTATATTGAGTACTCATTATATGTGATGTTCTAAATTCAAATCTACTTTGCCGCTCAAGCGAATAAAATAGAATTTTCCAGCCAGATTTCGAAGCGCAAAATTACACTTTCCGAGGTGGTGGGATGAAAAATAAAATATTACTCTGTTTCGTCCAATATATTTAAAGTCATCAACCTTTCCAATTTTATTGTTTTCGTCTTACGAATTTTCGATTAGGTCACGTGTCCGGACGCGATCAGTCCACGTGTCATGACGCGGTCAGGCTACGTGTCCTGACGCGAGTTTAACAGTTTTTACCCATTACAAAAAAAGTGTACAACGCCGCTAAAGAAGTTTTCACTTCAAAAATCTGATTACGGAGAATGATTTGGAATACTTACGTGATCATGACCATGTCCATGTGTGTGACCATGACCGTGTTGGATCACATGTCCGTGGCTCACTGCGTGACCGTGATGCCCCGCGTGCTGTACGATGTGACCAGCATTATGTCCGATGTGGCCATGTTCGTGATGTATCACATGTCCGTGGCTGATAGCGTGACCGTGATGACGATGGTGACCAATAGGATGGCCGATGATACCAACAGGATGACCGGGGTGAGCAACATGATGGCTGATATGACCAGTAGAGTGGTCAATGCGAGATTGATGAGATACAGCTACCGAGTGCGTATGCACGCATACTACTAAAACGGTCAATCCGATTACCTGAAAGATTGATAAATAAATAATAATATGCAGGTATGTTGATTTTCACAATATTTTAATTGAAATGTACATGAAATAGAGGTATTATTCCAATTTGTTTTGGGGACTTAAGAAACGACATGGGAATTTGATTACCCTGAAATCTAATTTAGAACCATGGAATAAGGGCAATAGTATCAAATAAAAATACATTTTAAAATATTGTTTAAAATTTAAAAAGATTTTTACAAAACTTATTATGCACTATATTATACCCAATGCAAGTAAATAATATTTCGTAGAACAGTAGTACATATTTATAAGTACTTCTGTCGCATGTTTTTGTCTATATATTTTGTTCTTATATGCAAAAATTTATAGTAAACCATAATTCAATTATTTACACTGAAACTTACTTGGGACCACATGTTTGACTGTATCTCTTTGTTTGCTACTACAGAACTACCGACAAAACCAAGTATTGATCCCCTTTTATTTGAGCCGCTTGATTTTTTTACGGTTTACTCAAATTTGCAACGATATTAGGTTCCCAATAGAGCAATTAACGTTCATATTAGTAAATCTTTCAATAATTATGTATTGCAAAGTTGGCTGTTTAATTGCTGTATGGTTCCGTAATTGAAGTAAACATTGGTAGAGCACAGTCAATCAATTTACTAGACAGCAGAAAAAAACACTGAGATGCAATAGGCTTACTTACGTAATAAATAAATTTAATGCCTAAAAAATTTATCGACAGATCAAGTAAAATATATCCTACAAAAAAAAATCATGTAAAATGTTGCCAAGACGACCACATGACTCGCTCTGTCATAAAGTTATCAGATATCACGTAGAGTCAAGCTTCTAGCTCTATACAGCCTAACTATATCAGGTCTAACTCCAAAAATTCTACACCTTAATCAAAATATGTAGCTGCATGTCGAAGCATAAAGCAAGAGTTATCAAGACTAAAATTTCAGTTTTATGTCAATTCAATTTCTGAAAAAGATAAACTTATTTTATAATATATTTTCTTTAGATTTAAACATCAAGCAGTTGCATGCTTAAAAAAATGATAAAGATAAACTTACTCTGATAGTGCAAACGAGGGGTATAAATACTTCTGGTAGAACTTATCACACATTAAAATACAGTAGTTTGAGAATCCAACAGGAACCTAAAACCTTTTCCTGGATAAAAAGATCCTATGTCTCAATGCAGGTCATAAACTATATGCGTACCAAATTTCATCCAAATCCGTTCAGTAGTTTTTACGTGTTTGATTAACAAACATGCAAACTCTCACATTAATAATATTATAGTAGGATAGACATTAAATTATTATCACATTCATTTAGAAAATTTTGTTTCTATACAGGTGCTAACATTTCTTGTAATTTGCTGCAGAACTCTGAACGGCTTACGTTTCGAAATCTGGACTTCCTTTCCTTCCATCAGTCACTTTCGAGGGTCATCATTGTTATTATACGATGTGATCGTCCTTAACGTTGTATTCATATGATTGTTGATAAGTGTTCTATACCACAATATCATAGATAATCTGCTTTTATTTATCACGAATACATACACAATGATTTTCAAAACAATAAAAAAGTACTATATGCACTTCCTTCCTGCTCTTTTTGTTATGGTTTGTTTGAGTTAAAAGTGTATTAAATTGTTTAACATACCCGCTTCTAGCACCAACAAACAAAATTTGATATTGATGGCTAGTGTAATATAGTTTGAACTAAAGTGCGTTAAAGACCTGGAAACGAAAGGTGTATATCGTAGGTGTTCTGAGGTTCCACATTTGAAAATGAGGACCTCACAACTTCGGTGCCCTGGGGGTGCACACCTCTACATCCGATCCTGAGTCTAGGTTTACTGCAGTGTTATTCTGTATTTTTGAAGTTATACTTCTTTAGGCGCGTTATGAAAAAATTATGAGAGTGAAATTTTAAGATGCGCGCGCATCACTGTAACATAAAAATTAAAAGCATGAAGTTGGCGACCAACTTCATGCTGTTACTTTTGTGTTTACCGCACATTAAGAAAATCTACCAACAAACTAGAAATAGAGTCTCTATTTAGTGGGTGCTAACGACTGCATTGTGAAGGCCTATCAAAAGTATTTATTAATCTGGAACAACGGAACCAAAGCGCGATTCAGGAGACTACAGCGCCATCTCTTGACCATTGGTGTAGTAGAACCAAAAACCACATCTTTATTTTTTGTAATAAAGTAACAGTTATAGGTATTCATATTTATAATATTTATCCACACGTTTCTAGTTTGTATATTCGGAATACGTGTTTGAGTTTCATACAAGTGCAAATCACATATGTTCTAATAAATTATATTCAGTAGCGATTTTAATTGAATATTTTGATTATTTATTTATTTTTTCAAATTAAAACTGAACTTTATTGACTGTGTCCTTTTCCAGACTTTTTATTAATTTATTGTAATTAATTATTTGCATGCAATTAAAAACTAATTTTAAACGATGCCAAAGAAGGATAACTTCTCACGCGCCTACATAAGTACACGCACCCATTTTTTTTAAACAAAAAGTAAAACCGACTTCAAAATCGAAAATGGAACTAACTAAAAAGTAAAAAATAATATCAGGTTCATGATTTGGAAGTCGGGCGGGTCAAGATTGAAAGACGTATTATTACTGATCAGAAACGAAAATAGTTTCTGGTCTATTTAATGTTTCAATATTTACTCCCGACTTCCAAATCATGAACCAGATATTATTTTTTACTTTTTAGTTAGTTCCTTTTTCGATTTTGAAGTCGGTTTTATTTTAGGTTGGAACATTTTTATTTCATCCATTTTAGTGAAAATTACATCGTCCAAGTAAACAATACACAATTACACAATTGACGAAGAAATCGGTGAACATGCATAAAAAACATCGTGCATGCCTTTGAAATATGAAGGTTTCCCTCGATTTCTCCGGATTCCACCATCAGATCCTGACTTGGTTCCAATGGGACTACTTCGGACGTGCACTCTTTCGAATACAAAAAGAATTTTGGAATCAGACCACGTTGACGGAGAAATCGGTGAACATACATAAAAAAAAAAGAATTTGAACACAGAACCTCCTCCATTTTTGAAGTCGGTTAAAAACAAACTCACTTCTCACCGCGGTATTCGCCGCTGTGATTTGAAATTAGTGTTCCAATTTTAAATCACACAGCGGATTCCAAGGTGAAAAGTGGGTTTGTTCTTACAGTGCAGTGATTTACTTAGTACAACACCATCTTCTAAGTCAATAGGCAGTAGGTATTTAAAATTGTTCAATTGTTGTTCAAATTAATTACAAATGAATAATTATTGGGATTTCCTTCCTATGATCCGCAGCGATTTTAATTAATCGTGTTTGGATGACCCTGTATTGATGACCTCTGTGTTGAATTGATTCTCTCTCGCAGTACGACTCAATTCCAATATCAGATTTATATCGGAATCGTGCGGATCCACATCGGATCCGCGCGTAAACAATTTTACAGAATAGCACTGCAGAAATTCAGAACAGGTACTTAAGGTGCTTTCTAGAGCTTTTTAAAAAGACCAAAACACTATTTTAATAAAACAACCAAAATGGGTTATCTGGTGGCCATTCGCCTAACGGAAATGCTTTGGAAAACGCTAACACTTACGATTTCATTTTGTTATTTCTAGCCGCCTGAGGTTTTCAAATGCCTCGCGCTCTTTTTTTTCTTTTGCATTAGTAATAACAATATTTAAAAAAATGAGCGTGAGGTATTTGAAAACCTTCGGCGGTCAGAAATAACAAAATAAAATCGTAAGCGTTAGCGTTTTCCAAAGCATTTCCGTTAGGCGAATGGCCCCCTGGTCCGTATAGTTTTCATTTTACATGATTAACTCGACCCATTTTGGAACTTTAATGTTGCTATGTAACACGTAGCTTAAAAATGCCTGACATATCAATCATGCAAATCCTCAGCAAAACAACACTACCTTTTGGTGGTTGCGTGCTTTTGTCAGTTCGTAAGTTTTCAGCAATTTATAATAGTTTTGCTTATTTGTAAAAAACTATTAGTTCCGAAATATGTAAACATCTCGAAATATGTTTGATACATAGTTCAATGTGACTATAATTAAACACGTTAGTAAAAGTAACCATTTGTCAAAATTTTACACTTTTTACTATATATTTCACGTGACATAGTCACACTTAACCTATAGTTATTAGTAGAAGTGAAACTTCTTTAGCTCCATCTGTATGTATATGTGTGTACAATATATACATGTATGCACATATACATATTTCATTTACTATTTAAAAGAGAAAGAGAGAAAGAAAATGTGCGCGCGCACTGCTTTCTCTTGCTTATATCCCCCAGTCAACTGCTGTTCGCTGCGCCCGAACATACTTTTCGTAACGAGTAACGCATTCACCAGCTGACCCCCAAGTCAAGCGTGCGTAAAAAAGTTTCACTTCAATATGGCAAAACTTACCATTTATTAACTTGACACATTGACTAATAGCAGTCAGTATCAAACAATGCAGCCTTGTTTAATTTGATAACGAAAAATGGCATTTTTTTAATTTTGTGACGATGGATATAATAAAAATAAATAAAATATTTTGATTATTAAAACCACGCTAAAAACGCTGATGTTTTTTCCACGTTAACTTAAAAGTTTGATTATTTCACAGCTTTATGGGAAACTTTTTATCTGAAGAATGCGTGATATCGAGTTGAAAAAACCATAACTCATCTCTTTTCTGAATATTTTGACTTACAGATTTATGGATTTCTGCATTTGTTATGTACCATGGAACGTTGGCCATGTTTCACAATATACCATTTGCAGACGTTGCATGCACTTTTCCATTCAATTCAAAATTCAATATCGTTTATTCAGTCTAGGCTGTTACAAGCACTTGTGAATGTCGAAAAGCTACGCCATCGGTTCGCAAATCTACGGCGGGAGACCTTGTACTGAGAAGAACCGGCAAGAAACTCAGCAAGGGCTGTTTTTTTCTCCCTGTATTATATACAGAGTCGTCAAATTGAAAAATGACTTCAATATGAGGTAACTCATAAAGTCACTTTTCATTACAAACAAAAAAAAAAATGCAAATAATATAAAAATTATGACTATAAAATAAAAAATTAAAATATGTAAAAAAAATGGTTTAACAAAGTTTAGGAATGACGTGTCCTACCGCTTAGGCAAAAAGAAAATAATAATAATGAACGATTAAAGTTTAGAACAACGATTAATAGTAGTACCCAGTGAATTAAGAGCAGACTCATCTCCGCTGGCAGCACCCGTTCACGAGCATGACGCATGAACCAGCCATCGCTTCGCTCAACCATTTTTTAGGGAACGCAACGACCCGCCTCACACGACACTACCGAAGAGATTTTTAAGAGAGCATGACTACTCATAACCACACATGGATACTATGTTACTAAAATAGAAAAAAAAAATACATATAGGTACCAGTATACATTATTAT